CTGCAAAGCAGCCTGCAGGGATTCACAAGGCCACCGCCAGGCACCCAGGCCGGCCCGAGTCAATGCTTTGGGCTGCAGAACTTACACCAAGCAACCTCCTCCACAGCCACACAGGAAAGCGGCGAGCCAGGGGCCAGGTTCTGCACGCCCTCATGTCTGAGGCCCTCCCTGAGGAAGCAGCCTGAAGCGAGGGTGACGGGCTTATGTTGACAAGCTCAGGAACATTTCCACCTGAGCTAAATGGAAGGTGAGCAGAGGAAGAAGGCTTTCCTGGAACCCAGGCCTTTGGCACCAAAATTGTTACTGAATGAGTAAAGAAATGAATAGACGAAGTAACCATGCTGTCATATTGGTTAAAGCATCAGAACCTGCCGATGATCACTGAACAAATTAGAGCTGGAGCAGTATTATCCCCCTGTCACTCTCACATGCATTTCGGTGTCCCTCCAACCCTGAAATGCCCACGGCTTGCCCGCTTCCCACAGTCACCCTTTGCTGCTTACGCACGCTGAGTGACGACGTGTCCTTGGACTAGGATTCTACGGGTCTGTGGAACACTTTAAAGACTCACTGTTACTCATGTAGGGGTAAAGCTTCACTGCATATTACATTAGAAATTACAGAAACTAAAGCTTATTCCAGCCACTCGCCCACTGCACACATATAAACGCGACCAGGCCCACCACGACTAAGGGAGAGGCTCACGTGAAGCATTCCAGTTTTTTACTGAAAAGCCTCTGCTGGCTCCTAAGATAAACATTCAACATGAAATTCTCCACAACAGATCTAACTTATATGCAATATAAACAGATGCTGACTTTTTTAAATTATGTCTTAAATAGAATTCTAATCATATTGCCTGAAAAGAAAACTCACTGAAACTTGATGCCAAGGATCTCAAAATTTTGCCGGTACTATTAGCTGTCAAAGGACTTCCTCTCCAAGGACATGGACTTAATTACCAAAGGCCATCCTGTCCAAGCCACTCAGGGGGGAGGGAGAAGGGAGAAGTAGCATGAACGTCATCTCTGCACAGCAGCATCTAAGGGCAAAGGAGGCCACATCAACGACTCTCATTCTCAGACTTGGGGGGCTGCAGTCGTTTTCCATCATCTCTGGGGCAGACCAAGTGCTAGGCCTAGAGGGCCAGTCTCTGAACCTACTGGAGAAGCCCCAGGAACCCGGAGCATGCCCCTAGTTACTGCTGGGATAGCCGCTACCTTCAGCCAGCCTAGGAAGTTTGAAGTTGCAGTGAACTGCTGGTAGTTGTCCTATGCAGAAACGGCTGGTAGATCTTCCTGGGGAGTTCAAGAATGCCAGGGCCAGGTGCCGCTGCTCACATCTGTGGGATGGCCTAGTACCCGTGACATAGACTCTCCTACAGGTCATCACTCCCACAGAACACCAACACTGAAGCATGTTAATAGGTATGAAGGAAAAATAAAAATGAAGTGTTCCTTGGTTGGACACATTTGGAAAGTGCTGACTTAAATACAGTAAAACAAATTTCTAGACTGCAAGACATCTCGGGGCTTTTCATAGGTTGAGGAGCGCTGGGACCCTCCAAGATGCCTTCAGTGTGTCTTTGCTTAGCTCCACCTCAAGCACTTTTGATGCCAAGGTGCATTTTAGTTTACAAATGACAGAAATGAAACTTTGAAAGCCTAACAATAAATATTGAGTGAACTCTGGAATAAAAACACCACCCCGGGGTCCCCTCAAAGATTATGAAGGGTCCAGGGAAAGATAAACGCAGTAACTACAGAGGTCATTTTTATTTACTGGTTTCAGTCCAAGGTGCTCCCCAAAAGGTCCCTAGCAAGCCTGCGCAAACACCTGGAACCCAACTCCAAGGAAAAAGGACTCCCAGTGAGCCTCTTTTAAAAAGCAATTGAAGGAGTGCTCGCTCTGGCACTACATACACTAAAATTGGAATGACACAGAGACTAGCGTGGCCCCTGCATAAGGGATGACACCCAACTTTGTGACAAATTCCATAATTTTTATACATAAATTATATTTCATAATGCTAAAATTTATGAAAAAGAAAACAGAAGACTTTCTCCCACTATAAAAAAAAAAACCAGTTGCAGTGATTGTGCATTATAACTGTGTCTCTCTCAGAATTATCTGTGTGAGATAATGTTCTCCTTCATGCCAACTGTTTGAACCATAAATTAATATGCCCTTAATCCCTAAGATCTAGATAATTTTGAAGCTACAAACAAGGTAAAATCTGATCACCAGGTGTGCCATCACAGCAGAATTCCCAAACTAAGAAAATCTCCCCAGTATGGAATTTCAAGGCTGCACAAGGATAATTCATGTTTCTTTTTAGATAATTTTTTTTTAAATGAGCACTTGTCACAGGACATGTAAATTCCATGCAGACATTTAAATTCCACATAATTTTGAAAATACACTTGTGGAACTGACTAACCACATACCTGGAAAATGCCCCCTTTGAAAGAAATGGGTGAGAATGAGTATAATTGCTACAGCCTAAAATGCATAAACCTATTGTCCATATCTGTTCACTTTTTCATTACAGAGGTAGCCAACTTCACAGAGAATGTAAGACTAACAATAAATATATGTTACATCTCATTTTATACTTCACAGTTCAAAGGAAAATATAGGTCAATATATCATTTATGAGATAGGATCTTTTACATACCTATACAAATGTAAGATTTGATGCAAAAAATTAACTTTTAGATTCAGTTTGTCTGCATTTGTTCTACAACTGAGTTCACATGCATACATACACACACACGCCTCTTTGATCTGAAATCTCCAATTTGTGAAAACCAAAACATCATTTCTTTCATTTGATTTTATAATTCTCTCAGGAAAATGGGTAGAGTGCTACGGAGTGACCAAGTAGTCTCTTAAGATAAAATATGATTTGAATTTAAATCAGTAGATGGTAAAAATTAAGGATATCTGCAAACAGGAATGTTTATTATTGACACCACACAAGGTTCACATGTATCCAATTCACTGCTATTAATGGTGTTTCATCTTGACCTGTGCTTTAAATCTGACTGGGCATGTCTTGCTTGTATGAATTATTGACTAGTTCAGGTGTTATTATGATTTAAAAATGCAGCTCATTACTTAGATTTTCCCTAACCATTTACAACTTGCTGATCTATTTCAAAACACTGAGGACTCTTGCTTTCTTTAGATTACAAGTACAAAATAAAATACAGAAGTTGAGTATAAAAGAAAACTCTAAAAGATAAATGAGTGTTTTCTTACCCAAGAATGAGAGATGAACAAACTGATGGGTGCTGCCCAGGGGCACTGGGCAGTCTATCCAGATGACCTTTGAGGAAAAAGATGTTTCTAGATCAGAAATAGCCCTTGCAGCAACACAAGGCAAGTCAATAATCGTGTAACTGCACATCTAAAATAAAGATAAGAGAATTCATTTCAACAACCAAGATTTTCCAGGTTAAAACTGACTTTTCCCTCGGTGCTAGGATTCCCATAGCAATGCTATAAGGTGGAGAAATTGGGATTGCCCGTGAGGACCACCCGACTGGATAACTGGTCAGTTCAAGGTGGGATGAATCAATCAAATCGACTTATTTTTACTGTCTCAAGTTTTATTTATCTCAAGACCTCAGCAGACACCATCTCAGGATCTCCCAGGCAGAGCCCAGATCCTGTTTAATCACCGATTTCAGAGACCTAAAATCATCCTAAACACAAGCCAGCCTTAGGTTTCTGGATCATGGAATTTTTTTGGACAGTCTGTGTAAAGTCTCTTGAAAAACAAAAATAAACAAAACATGAAGCAGAAGAGAAAAGGACAGTTTCATGTCCCATGAGCAATAAAAGCTAAAAAAAAATCAAGGCTCCAAACATCCTCTCTGTTCTGTTAACATTTTTCTTATCTATAAAAGCCAAACATACAGTCTTTACCACATAATTCCACGTTAATCTACGATAAACTGTCATTTGGTAAAAGGCAGGGTAAAGAGACCTTCACTCCTAGTTTATCTCCAGTGAACTTCCATTCGCAGGACTTCAGAACAAGGCCATATATGGGAACAAGGTCGCGGTAACTTGGTGTGTTCTGATGCAGTTCATAAAACAAATTCCCAAATGTGTGTTTTTCAGCCAAGCTTCTGACTATAGTGAGCTTAGTATATGCAACAAAAGGGATGTCCCACACTGACAGGGGCAAAAATACTAAGTATTAGAACATTTCTAGTATGTTTTCATTCTGAAAATGTGTTAATATAAAATGTTTAAGAATGCCGCATAAGTAGGTTTCCCTCACAGGAGCTGCAAACACTTAGATTCAGAAATCAGAGTCACTTAAACAAAAGTTTCTTTCTAAAAAACTGAATGAGAACGTCACGACTCGGTCACCTCGGCCTGGAGCGTCCTTGGCTGTCTGCCTCCCTCCCTTGCCCCACGAGCACACGTGCATTCAGGGGTGTGCCCCCTCCAGGTGACTTCCTTTGTTAGAGGAAAACAGCAGAGCAAACAGATGGACCAAACGCCATTTGTTCTCCAAGCCGGTGGTCCTCATGCTCGACCCAGCACAGCTGTATGCAAACTGCAAAACCCACGTGGGAAAGGCAAAGAATAGATAAAGAAAAACACGATTCTGCTTCAGCTAGTTACTGAAATAAGAAATCCTTTCTAGTCCAAAAGAACTTAATGATGGTCTTCGTGGAGGAATGGAGAGCATTAGCCTGCCATAAACTGGTTGCATGGGTATCTGTGTGGATTTTTCTGGGTGGGAATTAGGAAAAAAAGCATCCTTCCACCTCCCTCCTACTTCGGCGTCCCTGCAGGAAGTGGAGCTGAGTTTTAGAACACACGCCTCCCAGGGCTCTGGAACCACCTTCAGTCTAATTCAGCAGAAGCTTCCAGAACACTCTGGCAAGGAGCTGCTCCTGACCTGCATTCTGCACAAGAGGGGGAAACCTGCCCACAGAACCAGGATGCCTCTGAGCCCCGAACAGAGAGGGTCTGCCTCTTTTAAAACTTGGGCCCAGGGTGCACGGGTGGATTTGTTTCCTGCACTGCACAGAGTTCTAGCAGCTGTTGGGACAGATGCCCCAGGGGCCATATGCAGGAGGGGAGGCCAGGGAGGGAGCCCCCCACTCCCGGTCCTGCTGCTGAGCACCAGCCAGGCTGCACTGCCTGCTCCCCTGCCCCTGCAGGGAAAGCTGGCTCCACACACCCCTGCAACAGGTCCTTGGGGAGGCCACGTGTGTTCGGCACTAAGTGGCCAGCAGCAGGCAGCATGCCCCTGGGCTTGACTTTGTCACGAGTTCGTTTCTACCTCTACCAAGCACCTCGCGCCACCAGGAAGCAGACACCTCCTCAGGGACTCAGCCTGAGCCGGGCCAAATGGTCAGGGTCCTGTGCGCTCCCAGGGCCGCTCCCGAAGCAGCCACTGGCCTTTGGGGTTCTCGGTGTCGATGTAGTCCTCCCCCAGAGACGTCGGGGGCTCCAGGGCAAAGAGCTCTGTGTTCCATTCCACGTCTTCCCCCGAGGAGTTGAAGAGGATCTGTGGGGTGCTCCCCAGGCTGGCAGGGAGGAGTGAGAGAGAGGGCTTTACGTTCAGCATGGCAGGCGGGGACCCTTTGGTTTTGAAGGGTGAGGTCCCTGGAGCGTGGCCTGGGTCCGCCAGAGCACAACAGCATTCACTGCTCTGAGTGCACACAGGGACCAGGGGCCAGAGATGGGGTCCGGGTTGGGACAGCAGGATCTGGAGGGAGAAAGGCCAAGAGCTGGTGGAAGATGAGGCCAGCCACCCAGAAGCCATCCATCCGGCCGCCCAGCACCTTGCCGAGGCAGGGCATCTAATCAGGTTGTTGCTGGGTCCCTCCTGGTGCTAGGCCCTCTGCAATCCCAGACTCCCCTTAACTCTCTGTGGTACGCAGTGTGCCTGGGACTCGGCGAAACAGTGAAGAGGGTGGCAGCCAGCATGGGGGCTAAGAGGGAAAGGGGGGCAGTTCCAGAGCTGAGGGCACATTTCGGATGATCGGCAGCGAACCAGGTAGGGTCTGTGCAGAGACTGTTCACAATGTTTCTAAGATCTCCCTGCTAAAAATTACACACGAATAATTTTGGCAGGTCAGACAGGGGCTCAAGGCCCCATAAGAACCACGCAGCCTGGGGGACATGCAAACACCCTGCTTATGCCTTGGCCCAAGCACTTACTCTCTTTTGCAGGGTTTGGGCTTAAATTTCAAGGTGCTGAACACCCCTTGCACAGCTTTGGGCAAGTAGATGGGGTGCCTCTCAAGTCTCCTCTGGGCGCCGACGGTCCTGCGCTCCGCGCTGCTCTGAGGCTGGACGTGTGCGGCCATGTCCTCGGAGTGCCGGCGCGGCGCCCGCAGGATCCAATTGGAGTGCAAGCCGTGCTCCCGGGAGCTGGTGGCCACTGGAAGGGAAAAGCAGGGCTGGGGGGAGGACTCGCCACGGGGAGGGGCAGAAGGCCAGGCGGGGCGATCCCGTCTGGGAGCCCGCAGGTGCCCAGGACAGACAGAGCGCGCAGCGGGCGGCCTGGCTCTGCAGCAGGGGGCACAGGGCCACGGGAAATCACGTGCACAGCACAAACGAAGACTTAGAGCTACACGCACCGGCCTGGGGGAAGGGGCACCATGCACTGCAAACTGTGAAGTGAAAAGCCCAGAACTGCAAAGTGATCCTGGCTTTGTTTTAAAAGATCACGTGCATCTGTGTGTGTGTTTTGAACCGTGTTGAGAGGACAGATCGAAGCGCTGACGGTCACCATGTCTGGGTGCAGGTGCTCAAGTCTTTTCCTTTACTTTCCTCCTAATGTTTGGTGGGTTGTTCAGTTCACTCAAGTTTCAATGAACTTACGTTACTGTTGTGTTCAGAGAAAAAACATAAATTCACCCTCATTAAAAAATAACTGTGACGATGGCACTTGGGTCCTCGGGGCACTTTGCTGAGCCCTCCCCGAGGCCCTGGGTTTGGGCCGAGAGGGTTGGATGGTGCTGGGGCCGCACCCTGCCTCGGCTCAGCAAGCAACCCAGGGAGGTTTGTGTCAAATGCGGGGCTCGCAGCGGGGACGGCACAACAGCGGCCCGAGGAGGAGAACCGGTCGAGCGCCGGGCCCGGCTTGCAGAGCAGAGGCGAGTTTCCCGTGGGTCAGGGTGTGGGGCCCCATAGGGCCCACCCGTAAGTCCAGCCTCCCCCAGCCAACCACCCACCCCTGGCACATGCTCACCGTCGAAGTCCACATCGTGTTTGTCCACATCCAGGTCCGCAATGACGGCGTCGAGGACGGCGATGGCCTCCGCTGCGTCTGCGCTCAGAGGCGAGGATCCCTTGGGGGCTGCTCTCTGCTGGAGGGACAGGAAGAGAGAGAGGCTCTGGGGCCGGCCTCTGGGTGCCCCACACGAGCATGCCATACCCCAGTAGAACCAGGGCTCCCGAAACTGAATGTGTGTGCAGTCAGGCCCAGGGGTGGTCCTGAAGCCCGTGGGAGGCAGGCAGGTTCTGCAGACCTGCAGCACCACCGGTTGGCAGATCTCCTGCTGCCTTGGGGTGGGAGGGACAAGGGTGGTGAGCAGCCGTCACTGACCCCAGGCCAACCTCATCTGTCTTTGGCCTGGTCCCTCGCCGGTAAACACCCAAGTTAGTGACATGATGAGACACTCGCAGCAGGACAGAGGACGCGGTACGACAGAAATGCCCCGCAAGTCTTGTTATACCTAACGTGGCTCAGTGTGGGCTCAAGTCATGGAATAACCTGCCGTGAAATTAGGGTGCAGTGTGAAAAGCATGGGGAATAATAAAATATAGAGTAAAAAACATCTAATGAGTGCCCAGCTAGGGTGGGCTCTGCCCGGACATCATCTTCACCAGCTCAGGCACTGCCGCTACCTTCACAACAGCCCATGGACACCATAGACATCACAGCCCACAAAACAGCCACAGACACCATGGCCACGGGCACCATGGCACATGGATGCCACAGAAGGTTGGCACGTGGTGGCATCAATGGAGAACTCACAATGAAGGCACCGAGTCACCACGTGAATGAATGAACAGCTCTCCGAGGAATTCAGGAAATGGGAGCTCCCGGAGGAAAACAGGACAATATGTGGTAAGTTGGGCTTTTCTGACCGTGTGTGAAGGTCTTTCGTTTTATGTGGACCTTTTGAAAGCAGGGTGGTATTAAAATAAACATGGTTAAGTTACAGACTGTCTGTTGGGAAATAACAGGATGACATCCCTATGTATGTATAGAATTTGGGTGACATGTAGGCATTTTGTACTACTAAAAACGTTTCTAAATGCAGGGCTGTCTCCCTTTGATACGTGTAAGGATCTGTCTTAAAGGAAATACTGAAGTCAACATACACCTGAACCCTTTCTGTTAAAAGTGAAAACTATACTCTGTAGCTTTCCCTCCCCCTCCAAAGAGCCCCTGAGGTGAGGGGGGTGAGTAGAAGCTCCAGGCACAATGAGAGATGGGGTGGGGGGGTGTTTCTGGCAGCGGGGAAGCAGGGCAGAGGGGTGACTGATGTAACAGAGCAGAGGGCTGCCCGAGCCCCTCGGGTCGGTGCGACAGCTGACAAGAGGGACAATTTGACACTGAGGAACTGGGAACTCTCCGACGTGGCAACACTAGGCACACCAAGGTTTGGGAGCGAATGTGGGTCCAGAAAACCACAGGGCTGGTGGGAAGGCCGTGTGAGCACAGCAGGCCAGGCCCCCGGGCATCGCCCTGCAGGCAGATGACCCCTGCAGATGCCCCAAGGCCCACCTCACATTCCTGTCCTCTGTGCTTTTTCCTGTTGGCCCTGCCTCGATGGCCCCTCTGGCTGCCCCCTGTTCATCCATCTCGACGCGGCCGGGACAGCGCCGTCTCCAGGAGGGCCACCCTCTCCTGGGCTGCTTCCGTGCCCCTGAGTACCCCGCGGTCCTCAGGACTCTGGGAGTGGGTGCAGGAAACCTCATCTGACTGCAGCAGGAGGGCAGCTGTCCGCAGGCTACTCCAGCAGGAAGGTGGGGGCTCACTCCCGTCCTGATGAGGGAGGGCGTTTTCCACGTAGGAATTTATCTCCTGCTTTAGGAAAGCCGAGGAAGACCTGTCCCTGCCCAGCAGCCACACGCCCCCCACCACCTGCCTCCAGGGCAGCCTCCACCCTCCCAGACTCTTACCCTTCCTAGTGAGCTTCTGTCGCAAACAATCCTGCTCGAATTCCCTCCTCATGCCTTCCCTTTCTCTCTGCAGACTTGCCTGTGTTTGCCCTGATTTGCTTGTCCTGAATCGCCATTCCCCTGCTATTCCCAAATGAACTCATTTTGCTAGTAAAATAGCTACTTTATTTTTAAGGTGGCCTGTACCTAACCTAATTCTACTATGACACATATCATTTTAAAGGTTTTTGGGGGAATGTGGAAGAGACAGAAACAACTGGAGAAGCCACACAACTTGGACAGAGCCCCAGGAGTAGCATGATTGTTGTTTAATAGGAGGGCCAGGGCCACAGGTTTCAGCATTTCAAACTCATTTCCACATGGAGGGCAGGTCTCTAGGTTGCTATGGCAACTGCCATCAGTGTTTGACTTAATGCGAGGGTCTCAGTATGTAGGACAGCAGTCAAATTTCAATTTCACAGAAACAATAAATAATTTTTTAATATATATAGCAGATATTGCATGGACTTAATTATACTCAAAAATACCCATCATTTATCTGAAACTCAAATTTAAATAGGCATCTCTTATTTTACCTGGCAACCCAAATATACACATATGCAAATATATAGGAAAAAATGGTTAAAAATATATATACCTAAACACTTCAGTGATTATCTCTGGATGGTAGGATTCTAAGTTATTTTTTCATATTTCTTATACTTCTCTGTGTTTTATAAATTTCATCTAATGAACAAATATAACTTTATCATCAGAAAAAAGTGTGTTTTTGATGATGACCTCTGATCCATTATGAATTGGGATGTTTTAATTATTAGGATATGATCTCATTTAAATACACTCAAACAATATTCTACTGTATTAAAAACAAAAGACAATTTTCCACTCACTGAAGACCAGGGACTATTCCTTTTCCAGATCTTCCACCGAACTTTGTAAGTTTCCTCACATTATTGGTTAATTGAACATCTACTGTGTGGAGCCATGCTAAAGGTTGTAAATAAAAAAATAAATAAGACATGGTGTCTGCACTCAGTGACCTCATGGCCAGTAGCAGAAATAGCAATGATGGACAATTAGTGTGCTGGCTGCTGAGTTGTGAGTAATGAGTGCTGGGTGCCGAGTGATGGGTGTTGAGTACTGAGTGCTGGGCTCTGAGTACTGGGTGCTGAGTGCTGATGCTGAGTGCATAGGCAGAAGGGAAATCCACTGTGTTAGATCACAGATGTGAGAAATGGCTTTCTGGGGAAGTGCTTTCTCTGTTGTCTTAAAAGATAAGAAGTTAGCTAGGTGAATGGTGTGTGGCGGAGAGGAAAAGGGTAAGACCAAGTATTGTTTCTAGGCTGAGCACATACATGCCTGGAAGATAGATTGGGGAATGTAATCACCCACCTGTAGTCTGACCTAGAGGGGCCATAGGGATTATGTGCTTGCTTACCAATCATCATTATGTCATGTGTCATCTTGCGGCGAGTTCTGCCAAGCATGATGGAACAGTCTCTGCAGCTCAGAGTGAATTACTACTGCCTTTCAACTCTGCAAACCAGATATAGGCCACGTGATAGAGACCCCCCAGTAACTGATGCTTGGAGGAAATCTGCATTGTAGTATCAGTGTGTTTACAGAACATCTCCCCAGAAGACCTGAAAAATAATTCCCAGGGTGAAAAAGATCCAGAACCCATTTCTCATCCCATATGCAATTTGTACGCCAGTCACTTGGCATCTTTGTAGATGAATTGGATGCAGATCCTCCTGCCATCAGGAGAAAGAATCTTCTATTTGCTGTCGAATGGTCTTATTTCATGAACCAGCACTGGATGTCCTCAACAGAAAACTGAGGCTGAAAGCTGACTATTGTCAGAATAAAACTACTTTAAATGAAAATCAGTCACTTAGGCAGGTGTTCTCCAGAATTCCATTGGTTCTTTTTACAACATTCTTGTAGCAGGTGCATTTCTTTAGTCAGGATAGTGGGGCACAGGACGCAGGGGAGGGCTGAACATTTGGCAGCTGGTCCATCCAGGCAGACACGTCAGGAATCCAAACTGCTCAGAAATAGATGATCCCCAGGAGAACTAATGAAGTTTCTTTTGACTGTGGTAGGTGACCAGTGACCCTGGCCTTGGAAAATATCCAGCCTAAACCACCTGGGGATTGTCACACGGGGCACTGCAGCCAACCCAGACTATGCCCCAGGGCAGGCCCAGAGTCTGTGGTCGGCCGCCCCAAGGCTCTTCTCTGGTGCCCACCCGGGACAGGGTCGACTTATGTGGCCTGGTTCTCATAAGAGATGCTAATCATTCACCTACTCGTCTGGGCTTAAGAGTGTGGGCATCTGCCGTCATGAGGACCCCAAATACTGATACTCTGGTCAGAGTCAAAGCATAATCTCAAATTTTCCTCTTTGCTTCAAATCAAAATCCAAACTGATCAGCCATATAAAGGAAGTTTTGACACATACTAACAAGGGGGAACCTTGAAAACATTATGGTTAGTGAAAGAAGCCATTCACAGAAGGGCATATACCATGTGATTCCATTATCTGAGGTTCCTAAAATAGGCAAATTCATAGAGACAGAAGTAGAATAAAGGTTATGAGGATAGGGATAGGGATTTAATGGAGACAGACTTTCTGGGATGAGGGATAAGTTCTGGAAATGGACAGCAATGGGCTATGCAACATTATCAATGTGCTTAATGCCAGTGTATGGTACATTTAAAATGGTCAAAATGGTAAGTTCAAAAATTCTTAAGTATTTTACTTAAAAAGACTTTTTTATTTTAAGAAATAAAGAAATAATTGTCAAACCTTTTATGAAAAACATTCTCCTGGTTGCCAAATGAAGTGTTTTTGGAACCTCTGTGACCTCTTAAGGACTTTGTCTTCTAAGATACTACTAGTATGCTTCCATAAAGACTTCTAAACTTATATTAATTAGGGCTTAATAGTCCTTAGGATGAATTCCTACAAGTTTATATAAATGATCATTTGGAACATTTCCTGGAAGCCTATTATTTTCTGACGATTAGCAATAAGAAAGGTGTCAGTCACACATTTTTCTTTAAAGGAAATCTCTATAAAATCATTCAAAGAAAAGCTCTCAATTTTTTAAGAATTTACTACCTGTGATACACTTCATTACCTGTAATCTGGGGACACTAAAAAGCCCCCA